CCGAGTCGCTAATTAGGCGGGTCCCTAATTGATCGGATGAAACATTGACATGACAATCGCGCTTCGGAAGTCACAAATGTAACTCGGAAAACTGTTTAGTTTCGCATCGCGAATACAAAGTACGGCCGAAATCAATCGCGGCGAGGCGAAAACGCGTGTGCGCTGAGATAAATCGTGACGATTTATCAGAGCGTCAGATCGCGGCCGCTGATGTGTCCCGATATCCTCCTCCGCGACTTGAACTTTATATTATGTACCGTCTGATAATCAGACAAGACCGAGCCGGCTTGGCCGGCGTAGATATGCGCGCGAATGAGCGCACAGAAGCCGCGTACGTGCAACGGAATATCGATCCGCCCTTTATTGCTGCAATAAAGCACGTCGGCAGGAGGAACCCGGAGAGACGAAATGCGAAAAGTCATACTATCTCACGTCGCGCAGCTGGAATCGCTGGATCGCTTGATAGGGCGCGAGTGGAGCGCTGTACAAGTACACGCATTTTTTTCCTTTCACGCGCAATTTTCGAGTTTCGAGCTAATAAACAGGATTGTCAATATACTAAAAGTGTTTAAGCTACAATTAAATGTCACAGATATATTTAGAGATTGAAAGAAATAGTAAATACACGAATTAAGAAGCTGGATCAATCGAGCTTGGTTGTAAAGTTTTGTAAAGACCTATTACGCGTCTTTAGCACGTATCTGCGAGTAACAATACAGCGGTTTGTCCTGCGCTCAGTAAAATACAACGCTTTAGTTAGCGGGGCTCGTGTAATCCGGTTGGCAGGACTAACGAGCGATGCGTCGCTGCAAAAAGCACGGAATTTCCGCGACGGAAAGTTTTAACGATGTGCCCGGGGTGGGGGAGTGTGCGAACTTACGGACGAGCTGCGGAACGGCGCTAAAAAAGAAAGACGTGCGCGTTAAATAACGCGTATGCTCGGCTGTACACGTGGGTGTACGAAATGCGGGGTTTTCCGGCGAGTGACATCGATGTTTCGACTTTTGCGAGACTCGGTTTGCAAATGTGAAGTCTCAAATGTGCGCTGCAAGCAATATGATATCATTTCACGTGCGTATCGATCAACTTTGCATATTGAATGATTGCGTGATTGAAGATGAAGTATTCGCGTGTGTCGCAGCTGAAAACAGGATATACGTATCTTTTCGCACATGTGCATAACTGCATTAAAACTATTCTTTAGAACAAGGGCGGAATAAAGATCTTTTTGATGTCAATTTTTTTCGACCGACATTGTGGAAGAAATTCCGCGCACAATGCGGAGTCTCTTCAAAAAGCCGTAAACGGAACGTCGTCTCTACTTCAGTTGGTCAAAAAATAGCGAGTCTACTCCGCTGCTAAGTGGCTTTTAATATTACAGAATGCGGAAAATTGCTTTTAAGCGCGACGTACTTTATGTCAAGTCATATTCCTGTGTTGCGAGGACGCAAGTATTTTAATCGCGGAGGAGAAATTCGAAAAGCGCTGCAGGCGCGCGCGACCGACGACTCTTTCCCGTATCGATCGCGTCTCGATCGTCCTACTTTTCCCGCGTGTTCTCGCCGGCGGCTCGGTCTAGACGGCTAAATTGCGTTGTCGACGCGCGTTTAATTGCGTACTCGCTGGATCAGCGTTGGTCAAATTTGCAGTCGAAGCCATGCGATACGATTGTTAAAATAACCAGACCATTCGTTTAAATGCCCGCTTAATAGAATGTCGAAATCGCGGCGAAAAATCTATTAACCCGACAATCTTGACTTTATTTGCAGGAATGTTACACATTCCTTTTTTCATATCGCGCCATTTCTTTTTCACAAAAAATCTATCATTAATCCGTTTCATGTATTTAACTACATTCCGTTTTAGAGTTATAGTTATTCTAAAGCGGCAAGTAATATGATATATATGAAGGCGAATCATAAAGTAAAGTGCACTCCTGAATAAATACGAAACAGCAAAACCCACAGAACAGCAAGTTTATTAGGATGAACATACAACGGCATAATTTAGAGCATAATCCAAATATGCGAAATATAAATTAAGGTCTTTTTGCATGGTCATACCCACTAATTATTCCTCTTTATGTACAAGAGAGAATATACAATTTTTAAATAATTTGTTCCGCACGTTGATAAATTCAACATGATAAGATAAAGATAAAATAATAATTTTTGTCAGATGGAAGAAATGGAGTATTCCCTATAGTGGCATCTGAAGTGCGTGTGGTCAATAATGTCTCACGTTTCGTGTGTCATGGTGTCTCGAATCTTGTCGCGAGATTTTATACCTTTCCCACGTGTGTCGAGTAGTGACGCCCTGTGTCTTGTAAAAAAACAAGCTAGAGAAACAAACAACCATAATCCACGGCCGGCGTGTCGATCAGTATCGCAAACGCGGGCTTAATGCTCTCGAAAATCCGGCTGCAAACATAATATCAAAAGACAAGACGACTGACCGGAAAGCGGATGTTCGCTCTCTTCGACGCGTCGATCGTGACCGAGGCATCCTTTGGACCTTCGACGTATCGCTCTTTTGGCTTGCATGTCGAGGCGAGGATCGAGAAGATTATTTCGCGCTACGAAACAATGTCTTATTTAAATTAATCATTTATATACACGTCGTATAGATTTAAGAAATAAACGAGACGGAATCACAGATTAGAACTGAAGCTAATAATCGCAGGAATGACAAATTGGATGAAATCAATTCATGAAAATTTAAAAAATCATGTATCATTTTGTGTAACATAAGGAATTCATAAATACGAGATATTTTGCGTTAATATTATTTTTGACAAGTAACTAAAAAAGTGACAATTTTTGCAGGAATAATGCAATTCACTTCCTTTACAGTTCAATATTACGTATGTAAAATCAATTCCTCTTACAGCATACTGATTCACTTTACAAATTATAAGGAATACAGAAATGAGAGAAATTGCAAAGTGCATACATTAAAGATGCTGCGCAGCTCGTCGTCAAAAAGGTAAGAGAATTAGTACAATGAAGTTTCTATCTCATTTCTCGCGATTATCATGCCTTTTTCCAATCACGGAATTAATCCGTAGTGCAACAGGATATATCGCTTAACAAACGTTGACTGCGCGATTCCATCCGACATGTAACGGTAAATCTCTCGAATCGCCCGTACGCGCACTCCATTACAGTCTGACATCGCGGACATCGGATAAGCTCGTCGATCCTCGCCTAGACAGTAAACACGAGCCGCACTGACGGATGCGTTTAGGTAGCTCGCGAGCACGCCGATTTCTCGGACACACAGTAGTAGTGCGATATGTAAATGAGCCGAGCGCGTCATATCGCGACGGAAAATGAGCCGACCGCGTCATATCACGACGGAATGATGGTCAATAAAATAACATTGCAGTCCACACCACGTAACAATATCCAAATATGCGTACGTACGTATGCACACATATATAGGGTGTCCCGAGTGTCCCGTATTTGTTTTTTATCTACGGTTTTCTCGACCAATTTGGAGTAGCTTGAAAATATTTATCAGAAACGTAAAAATCAATAATGCCAATGTGCAAAAATATATACACTTTGGGAATTTTAATCCGACATACAATTGCAAAGATATTCAAAGTCGAACGTCCGGAAAGATAGCACCTTTTCGAAATCTGTACTCCAACTTGGTGAAAAAAATCCACACGGGGAAAGAAATGCAAACATTCGGCGCACCCTGTATACATGCGTGCAAATGGATGAATATAAAATTATGTAAATATATATCACGTGACGTCCAAAGACTAGCGCATCGCAGGGATGTTTACGGGTGTCAAGGAGGCATTCTTTGACAAAGAAAACACAAATGGAAAAAACGAGCTAAAGGATAACGTTAGAGTAGACCGATGATGAGCAAGATTCTCGAGACTAAATGCTTGGAGACTGCGGTTTCTCGTGCTCGTTGCGATGTGGCAGTGCGGCACCTTAAAGCCGTCATAGGTCCAGGAGCCTAACTTCAAAACACAGGTCTGTACGTCGTACGGAAAGAACTCAACGTCGATGGAGCAGGAGGATTTATATACGGCCGGCGGTTGCCACACGACCAATCCCGAATAGTAGACCGTGGCCTTGGTCATCAGCGTCACCTCGTAGTTGCCGTCGGCGCTGGAATCACCGAAGAAACGAGCCGAGCGTGATCACGATTGGCTCGGAGAGAAGGTCTCCGGATGCTGCCGCCCTTTTCTATCTTCTCCCAACTCTCTCTCTCTCTTCTTTTTTTCCCTCTTTCTCTCCCGCCTTCTGTCGCCCTCGATATCCGGCTTCGCGTGTATCGACGGAGTGAGTCTTGCGCGCGTTCGCACAGTTATCACACGGCAGCTCTCCGGCCGCTTCTTCGCGAAATGCCTTCCCCGATTGGCCGGGAAAGATCTCGGAAACAGAAAACCGATATATACCTCGACTAACTCGCCAAGTTCGATAGTTCCGGAAAATTTATACAGATGCGACTTCTCTTTCGAGACAGACACTGCAACCGACTTTGCTTTTAATAAAATTGAAAACCGTCCGATTGAATATCCCTTCCGTCTTTTTGGCCGAGAAGCTTCTACAATGCTGATTGGTTCTGTCAGCCGGATAAGAATAATACTCGACTGCAATTCGACACCCACGCTCTTGATTCTACGACGAGTCACTCTGTCCGTACAAAGCGATGGTCGCGTCACCTCGGGCTATGTGGCAGCATCCGTCTCCCGGGGTGATTTCCGGCACTCGATGCTCCCCCTCTCTCGATCGTCGGAGACCCACGCGGCGAGCCGACCGTCAGTGATCTAATCTACGCTTAGGATCTAGCCGATACCGCCGTCCCAGAGACGCATCCCGCACGGAGAAGCGTCGGATCCGCGTCTCGGTTGTACGGCGGACCGATTCGGGGTCGCGGTTGATTCGGTTTTTTTTTAAGGGGGCTCGAGTTGGGCGCAGGCTGGCTGGAGGGGTTGGAAAGGCCACGACTTAACGGCTACCATGCGAATTTACCTTGAAGCCGTCATAGGTCCACGAACCGAACTTGAGGACGCAGGTCTGCTCGTCGAATGGGAAGTACTCCACGTCGATCTCGCAGGACGACTTATAAATGGCCGGCGGCTTCCACTCGACCAATCCTTGATGGTAGATCGTGGCCTTCGTGGCCAAGGTCACCTCGAAGTTGCCGTCCGCGCTGCGAGCGAGCACATTAGTGGTTCTGGGCGCTGCGGCGGTCGAGCTTACTTTGTACTTCCGATTCGATACCAAGCCGTCTTTTTTGTTTTTTTTCTTTCTTACTTTTCTTTTAAATCTGTTTCTGTACGTGTGTGTATATATATATATGTGTGTGCGTTTAGCGTAGTCACGGTGTCCTAAACAGGCGGACAGAGATCCTACGTACACGGACGTGGCGAATCTGATCATTTCTCCGGAAATACAGCAACGGGAGGGAAGGTAAATATGAAAGTGATTTTTTCGAAGGACCGGGGCGACCTTAGCGCGGAAACAAGGATTATCTGACGAAGCGTTTGCGAAATCAGGTCGGATTATCGCGTCATTACGCGGCAGGCTCTTATTTCGATCCGCTAATTGTAAGCTTGAATCGCGCAGGCTCGAGTACATCGATAATTTGCTTTTAACCGACTTTGCGAATACGGATTAGCGATAAGTTGCTTCTACCTAATTTATTATCCTACTTATAACTTAATCATTTACGTGGAAGGAGAAAATTCATTTTTATTAGCTTCAGCAGATATTAATGCATTTTAGCAGATATAAACCGATAAATGTTTCGTAATTTATTATTTTATATATTATAAGAATTAATTATACAGAAAGAATTATATTAAATAATACACTGTTAAAAATAAATTTTCTTTTTCCTCACCTAAAAAACTCTAATAGAGAAAAGTAGCAGCTTTCACAAATTATGTCATCTCGCGCTAATTAAACCAAATCTGTACTCCCGAGATTGGATGATTTAGTTGATCTTTCTAAATATAGCACGAGTATATCTTTGGTCGATAGCACGTTTACTGTCGAGGGCCGCATCGGCCACGTGGGGTTGCGAAGTAAACTAAGCGCGATGGTCGAGTTTCCCAAAGTCGGGTAGAGAGTCCGGAGATACTAAGTCATTGTAGATGACTGTGGTGCGCCGGGATTATTTTGCTATCGGTTTCCTTTCCTCCCCTGTGAACTATCTTCGAGCCCCAAAGTTACGATCAAGGCAGGAAGTATAGGCTACTATTACGAGTTTCCGAGCCGGCAAGAAGGGAATTCACCGGGAAAATGTAATTTTACACTGGTTCGGTTCGAGAAAATGTTGGTCTTGTCAATAGACTTGAACTGCGCTCGAGAAACTGTTATCTTTATTTAACGTTTGCCAGTTCGGCGAAAATTGCGCGATAAATTCATCTGACATGAGATGTAATCAATTATGCCAGTCAATTCCGAATTAAAAAGAAATGTGATGAAAAGATTTTGGCATAATACAACAGTAATATCGCAATTACATCAAATATATAAAATACAATAAATAAAAAAAACAAGTTATTTTTTCAAAAATCTCCAAGTTTCCCGATATTCGTATGATAAATTTGTGCAAGGGAATATCTGTTCGATGGAAAGTTGCATTTAATTGTTTGTGAATTTCATTGAATTTTCTCACTCTTTCCACGCGCGCGGGCGACGATAAATCAGGCTATTCATGTTGCTCAACTTTCCAGTGATTCGACTTCGCTTAAAGACAGCCTTGATTGCATTGACCGTCGCCGTATTGGCGAGGTATTTCTCGGTCCCGAGTGTGTCGCCAAGCTCTCGCCCGTACAGCCCTTCGGGGAAACGTGAACTGTATTAATAATCCACCGAAACCCGCCTTGGCGCGCAGTTTATCCCGCCGACTTACCCGACTGTGCGCGCACACGAAACTTCGCCGAGCGTTCGACATAAAACAAACAAGCCCGTGTATATTTGTACAAAGAGAATGAATATATATGAAACGCGCGCGTCGCTCCGCGTTCGGATGTTCGAATCTTTCGCGCGGATATACGCGGCCGTTTGATAGATATTAACCGAGTTATACCCGGCATGACGCACAGAGGGAATGTCCAAAGAGTTTGCCCGCGATGCGAGATGCAATTTTCAGCGCGTGACAAGCGCTGAAAATTTCACGAACAATAAATCAATATCCGTCTAAATTTTGCTTATCGATTTTAATTGCAATGCCGCGTTATATTTAACAAGAGTTATCTATCTCTCACGTAAATAAACGTTATGAAATATAAATCCCATCCGTTTTGCGAGAAACTATGTTCGTCACTGCGGCAACAATCGCATTCGATAAATTGCAGTTTGTCCTCCCCGCATCGGGAAAAGTGCAGCTCCTCTCGCTGCGCGCGAGGATATATTTTTCCTTTCGTATCTTTCGTATGAAGTATCACAGATCTACGTGCAAATGCACAGATGCTTCCACGCCCTACGTGTCTCGAATTACAGTCGGCGAGCGCAGCAGGGGCTTCCCTTTATCCGGCACGTGGTCCGGGGAATAACGACGTCTAAGGGGGAGGGAAGGGGCAGACTTCGCCCCGTGAAGATCGCGCGGAGTCTTAATCGTGGCAACCCACCTCTCGCGTGATCGCGCAGCATCGGAGACGAGCTATCGATTCCCGCACGAGTCTTCGAGTTGATCGTCAGACGCGATCTAACGAGATACGTCGCCCCGCGGGATAGGAATATGATACAGCGGTGTAGGGCCTTTGTTGCGCGAACCCCTCGAAATCAATTTATGCCTCAATGGAGATTCACAGAGCTATCGCAGCTGGATATTTGTTTGGCAGCCGTGTGAGAAATGTAGAAAGGACGATCGTGTCATTAGGATCCTTCGTCAAATACCATTCGTCACGCAATTGTGAGCCTCCTCCTCGTGTTATATTACCGACCCTACGCCGACGTCAGATATGGCGCGACTGATCTTAAGTCACTTTCAATGATAAGTATTCACTTCGAACGTATTTCTTTATAAATTGAAATCGCTAGGCAAATTTTTCGAAAACAATTTTAATAATTGCACGCTTGTTCATTTATATATATATATAAACGCTATTATGCTATTTAAATTATAAGTATACGGATTTTTGACGTAATAGCAATACAAAATATTAAGCTGTGTAAGCTTCATTTTGAATTTTTCGCTCAAAGCCGCGAGAATCGTTAAAACGCTTGTATCCGAAGCGGCATGATTATACAAGCACTTACGCTTCATTCAAGATTGAAAAACGATGGCTTTCGGTTCTTGTTAATTCGGATCAAGTGCCACTGCACATTTCGATTTCCAGTCTACACAGCGCTATCCCGCCGCGCTACACAATTTGCATATGCCCGGCTGCCCACGTCTATCTCCAGGTACAAACGCGAAATCGCAATTTCCTGCAGCGAGAACTTCCAATGATTCTCGATGAACGCTTATGTGGGACCGTATAACATGTATCGTGATGAAAGCCTTTTTGGAGGCGCGCTTGTGAAAATAGCGCTTCTTGCGTTATCTATCAGCCGCAAAGTAATATAATACTGTGTGTGTGTGTGTGTGCGTTAGATATATATGATCTAGTATCTGGCTATATATTACATTATATACCCAGATTCTTTACTTTTTAACAGCAAATGCTTGACGCTAAAGTAAAAAGATTGAAAAATAGCCACTTTAACATGGCGGAATATATAGATTTTTAGTTTAATGACTAAAATAATATCATAACAAAATCATATATCTTAATAATTGTAAAGTAATTTTTTCGCACACTAATAATTATAAAGTGGCATTTTAGCCAATATTAAATATTGATTTCGTAAGCAGAATTTTAATATAAACTTGAGTGTTAATTAATTGCTGGAAATTGTGATGTTATAGAAAAAGACTGCTAATAAAATTTTCACTAAGAAAATATTATTTTTACATTTGTTCAAGAATATGTCGCTGGAAGTAATTACTAAATTTTGTATTTAATAAAATTTCAATTATTACGGAATGGTCAAAGCTGTGTGGGGAAAATCGCTCACTTCCGTCCTGCCGTTAAGAGATGTGCATAGATTTACCGTTAGCGTGAAAAAGCGCCTGACGTAAAACGTTTTTGCGACGTGTTGTCGCCGTCACTTTCCGATGCATAGGATATACATTGGACAAACCCGACGTGCATAGCACGTGGGAAATAATCGACGAATCGAAACGGACTAGGCTCGCGTCGAAGGCAAAATGAAAAATCGCTTGTACCCGGGCAGTCTGTCGAGGTCTCCATTATCAGGAAAGGTACAGGCATCGATATTTCATGGAATTAACTGGCGGTGCGGCCAGATACAGTGGTACCGACGCCGCTGAAAAATAGCCTCGCCCTTACCGTTTCCGCCGGAAAACGCTCCGACGGAATACGCGACCGAGGGAATTCTATCAAGAATTACCGAGCGGAATTCCGCTGTTGTGTAACGATAAGCTTCGAGATTAATCACGAATTTCCCATGTTCTCGCGTGATCGCGTAGAAAGTATCTTTTTTTTTCTCTTCCGCTTATCTATCCTATCCCATCTTATCCTATCCTTATCTCATCCTATCATCTTTAAGAGACACTTAAATGTTAGATGTTCCATCTAAATAAAGAATAGCGAATTCGTCCATCATTGTAATCATGAATATGGCACATAACGTCGAGCCGCTATATCCGGACGATCAGAGGTCTCGGGAACCCACGTCGATACCGCCAGAGAAAGATCTAAATCCCACCCTTAATATTTATCATCGTTCATCCCGTTCGATACATTGACTAGCAGTTTCTGAGCCCCGCGCTGCCGGCGCTCCCCAGAATATTTTATTCGCTCCATCCGCACCACGTTGTAGCGCCGAGATTTTCGCGCATGCCGCGAGAGGCGCACGATCATAAATCATCCCTCTCGATAGAAAAGCTCCGCGTTTCTCGTTCCTCCCGCGGCAAATTTATTTGCCGGATACTTCGCTGTCCTAGCGCGGCACACCGCGTTAGAATTAACCCCCCCCCCCCCGCGCTCGTCCGTCCATTCGCTCGTACAACACACGGCCGGCAATTGGTTCCTTCCCGCTTCGCCGCGTCATTTCTGCCAGCTCCCACTATCGCGGGAATTAAAAGGGAACGAAACTATCGCTCAAGAAGCACACACCCACAGGCCGGCCGTT